CCGCCGCCGCCGCCGCCCCCCCTCAGGCCCCGCGCAGCGACGCAGCCCGCCGCCAGCGGCCTCCTCGCGGAAGCCCTCCCCGCCTCTCCCCTGCTTGTCCTTTTTCGATGCTTTTCCCCTTTCTTCCACTTCCGAGCGCGCCGAAGCGCCCTACCCCAGAGCTCGCCTTTGCTACCTGGATCCGCTTCTTGTGCCGCCTGCGTTCCGCCATGTTGGCCGCTCCGCCCGGTTCCTTCTGACGTGGAGCGAGGAGGGGGCGGCGGAAACCTCGCGAGAGCGCGGCTCGCGGCCCGTTATGTAACCGGGCGGGCGCCGCGGGCGGGGGAGGCCGGCGTTCCTTGCGTTCGCGGAGCTCGTTCCTCGGTCCCTGTAGTTGCCCGGCCGGGAGAGTCGGCGGGACGAGGCCAGAGTCGAGAAGTGGATCCGAGGACGCGAGGCCTTGGAAGAGTCTGAGGTTCGCAACCCTACGTATTTGAATCACCTGGGAAGCTGCCGAAATGCAGACGCCCGGGCCCGCCCCCTCAGAGCCAGTTTGTTTCGGTAGGGCGTAGCTTGAAACCTACAGAGCCTCCCATAGATCTTTGATGTGGCAGTTCCAGTAATAGTGACCCTGAGCTCCCTCTCCATTTTAATTTCACGAAATTCTATTTAAAGAGAGAAATGCACTGGGCATGGTGGCACACACCTGTAGTCTTGCTATCAGGAGGCTGAGGCAGAAGGATCACCGCGAGTTCAAGGCCAGCCTGACCTACATAGGGAGACAGTGTCTCAAAAAAAGAGCCAACAGTGAGGGACAGAAATGCACACTAACTCAAAGCAGAGAAGCCAGCAATCTTTTCCCATTCAGTGTATAGGGTACTACAGTCACTTAAACTTTGCACTTTTGATTCCATCTTCTAAGTGGCTTCTTAGAACGCAACTTTAGAATCCAAAAGTCGGAGAACCCAAGGAAATTACCAGTAAAATGAGTAGGAGAGTCCTTGGGATAAAGAAACCTGCTGACTGCTTCCAGTCTGGAGAATTACTATGATGGTGGTTCTTCTTTCAGAGTCAACTAGGCCAAAGAGGAGGGGTTTAAATTGCTCTAAAGTATTTAGATACAAATTCCTGTGACTTTACGGAGACTTTAAACCGCCTTAGTTGTAGGAAATTGGGAAGAGTAAGTTGAATTCTACGATTCATAGATCTGTTAATCATTTCAGTAAAATTTTTTCTCATATTTAGACTTATTTTGTGCTTGCACATGTGTGTTGCCTTTACAATTACATGTTTTGGCGTCCCTGACCTCAGATCACATGTAATATAGTAGCCTGTATTTTAAATAATGTAATGTAATCATGTATTGTTTCAGTAATTTTCAAGTTTTCTATATCATGAATTTAACCCCAATAGCAATTAATTGCGGCATCTTGATGTCTAATCTTTTTATAAAGAAAGATGGCTAAGGTTCTTTTTTGTATTATGGTATTTTGCTCTTGAGGAACCATTTAGTTTCTTTCCCTCTATGATCTATAACTTGGGTATGTGTGGTCAGCAAGAAGGTAAGAAGGAAGTAACAACAATGAACAGTTGATCTATACGTGGAAATATTAATAGATACTGAGTGCCTATTGGATACAAAGCTTTAGGCTAGGACTATGGTGAACAATGAAAGTTCCTCTCAAGCTATTTCACCACTTTAGAACAGTTTTACTTTACTCTCCTCATGTTCTCACTATTATTTGCTGCTTAGATAATAACAATTTGGTTTCAGACAGGTGTAGTGGCACCTGCTTGTAATCTCAGCCCTTGGGAGGCTGAGGCAGGAGGATTACCTTGAGTTTGAGGACAGTCTGGACTACATAGCAAGACTCTATCTGAAAAAACAACAACAACAGCAAATTGGTTTGTTTTTGGTAGTTGCCAAGGTAACAGTTCCTGTTATACAGTCTCCTAGAAACAGCTGGTCACTGTGATGTATATTGTAAGAACCAGTCAATAACCACCAATTACTCTGCTTCTATACTTCCTGCTTGCTTATCCTATGTAGGCCCAAAACTGCCAAGGAAGGATCAGGGCCTGATATCTTGGGAATCATCCTGATCAGTGCCTGTTGACATAAAATAAATCTGCCTTCAAATCCTGGGTGACGTTTTTGGTGTTCCTGTTCGCCACTGCATTCTGCTATCAGTGTAATTGATTGATCAAATCCAGTTGCTGCGTCTGCTAGCATCTTACAAAGTATTTCTCAGTACTGACATTCACTTCTTGATTTACTTCCACCACCTTGAGCATGCCTTTAGCCCCTCTCTTCTTTTTTCTAACAAAGAATGAACTTCCACTCAAACACTTTAGGAAGCAACAGCCTAATATTTATGAAAAGTGGTACCTGTGTTTCAGTTATGGTAATGAAGTTTCATATTTAAAAAATTTAAAGATGCAATTTAGAGGGAAAAGTAAGTAATAGCGCAAGCACCATGTGGATAGGGCAAATTTTATGGAGGTAAAATGTAGATGAAGAAATGTGCAGAGAAGTCTTGGACAGAGGCTATTTGCCTCACAGGAACCTGCCCACTGATCTATATCCCTCACCCCTTATGAAACATCTTCAACTGTTGTGTGGTTTTAAGTTGTCTTTACTGATTTTAGCCAGGTCTCTTCTAAGCAGATGTTAGGGGAAAGGAAAGGTGTCCAGGAGTCCTAGACCCAGGTCTGGCTGCTGTCCCCACTTCCTCCCCGCTGCATTCAGCGGCACTTTACACTAAGTGCTGATGTGAAGAAGCAGGTGGAAAGTGTCACACTTGAACTCATGTGATGGGTTGCAGTCAGAATGCAGACACACTGAAAATACTGTGTAAAATTCAGGCTACATATAAAAGTGTTTATGAAACCAATATATCTCATCATGTGTATGCAGATGTCCAGAAAAAAAATAAAAAATGTGAAACACTTCTGACCCCAAACATTTTGGATAAGGGAAACTCAACTTGTGTAGCTTTTCCCTTCTGATTTCTTTTTGACTTTTCTCCATCTATCCAGTTCTCAAATGTTCCTGGCCACCATAAATCTGAGATAGGAGATTAGGGTGTGGCAAAACTGGCTGGGGAAGTAGATGTGACCTGTTAATTACAAAATCCCATGCCAGGCAGGTGTGGTGGGGCATGTCTATAATCCCAGCAGGTACTTGGGAGGCTGAAGCAGGAGGACCATTGCAAGTTTGAGGCTAACCTGGGTTACAAAGTGAGTTTAAGACCATCCTGAACTGCATAGTGAAATCCTGCCTTTTGTATTTTTTTTTTTTTTCGTCTTTTTGAGTCAGCATCTGGCTATGCAGTTCAGGCTTGCCTTGAGCTCATTTTGTAGCCTGATACCCTGTTTAAAAAAGAAATCCCAGAACACATGTGCAGATCAGTTCTCCAAAACCCTGCACATGGACTTCTCATGAGAACTCAAGCTAGGGTGGCCTAGACCTGTCCTCAGTTTTATAGACATCTAGGTTAGGTAGAAATATAGTAGGCACTCAGGGGTGGGCCTTCAAGGGAGTCAGTGCAAAAGATGAGATGCATCAGGACTGTGGCTAGATGAGTATCTGAAGGTTAAAGTCACAATGGCTAGTTTTACATACTTCCCTAAGGGATGAATGAAGGCTTGGGAATATCAGTATCACCCTTTGAGATTTCCCACTTCCTCACTGAATGGGGCATCCTCTCCCACTTCCTAAGACTAAGACTAAAACCACTAAGACTAAAACTAAAACTGCCAAAACTACAGCTGGGCGTGGTGGTGCGTGCCTGTAATTCCAGCACTTGGGAGGCTGAGGCAGGAGGATCTTTGCAAGTTCAAGGCCAGCCTGGGCTACAAAGTGAGCTCAAAGCCAGCCTGAACAACACAGTGAGACCCAGTCTCAAAAAGACAAAAAATAAAATAAAATAAAATAAAATAAAACTGCGAAGACTAAGACTAAAGACTAAGGACTAAGACTAAGACAATAGATTATTAAGCAAGGTTATTGATACCACCCATGTACCCTTGCTACCATTAGATCAATATTACTTACACAACTATACTTGCAATCTTATTGGTTGATCATAATTTTGACCCACATTGTACCTGCCTCATGATTTTGCTCTTTAAAACTTCCTTTGAGAGGTAGGCTCTTTGGCAACCCATTTGGAACTGCTCCTGTCTCTCAGGAGCTATTCCTATTCCCCATTCCTTTTCTCCAATAAATTTTCCTAATCTTAACCTCTGTTGTTCCTTAGAATTCATTCTTCAAATTTCAGGGACAAGTTGCCATATTTGATACCTAGCATTTCCCTATGTCAGCATGGGATCTCAGCACCACCCCTCAGGACCCCTGTGTAGAAGTTCTGTCACGTTTCCATGAGCTTTGGATGGTATGAGGGACACAGATGCCAAGAAGAGCTTGCTGTTGTGACTTCTGATAGCAGCCCACACTGTTTCCCAGATGCAACATGTACTTTTATTTCTGCTTTTTTCTTCTTTTTCTCTTGTTCTGCACAAGTTTACTCTGCAAAACTGGTTTCCCCCATACTCCTTCACCCCTCACTTCTCAGTTAAACCTTTGGCACTGTTTTTGGCTTGTCTCGTCTAATTCTTTATTCCATACAACAACCTGGGATCTGTCAAGAAGGAGAGGTGAGCAACCCAGAACCTGGTAACATTTAATTGATGAGCCACTTTTAGAAGCAGGCTACCTGATCACATCTCCATTCTCAGCTTCTTTTCTTCTTTTTGTGATTTCTGGAGAATCTCATGCTTATAGCTTAATCCCAAAATACTGAGCACATGTTTATTTCCAGCTTTCTTTTTTTTTTGTTTTTGTTTTTCTCCGGTACTGGGAACCGAACTCACGACCTTGCACTTGCCAGGCAGGCACTTTTGCCGCTGAGCTAAATCCCCAGCCCCTATTTCCAGCTTTCTTCTGATATCTCCACTGACTGTCTGTTATGGTTTATGTCTGTGTGTCCCTCCAAAGCCTCCTGCGGCCATGGGGCAGGCTATTAGAGTTTGAATATGGGTGTGAGAGCTGCACCCGCCCAGGAGTGGATAGTTTGCATATGTAAGGGAGAGGAAAAGAGTGCTTGGGGCATTCCTCCCCCATTCTGCCCTGGTGTGTGGTTGTTGCTTAGCTGTGTTCTGCCACCCTGAGCTGTAGCTCTTTGCCATGTGCCACTCTGCCTTATAATCTGCCAAGTATGGACTGAAACTTCCACAAAACTGTGAGCGAAATAAACCTTTCCTTCTTTAATTTTGGGTGTCAGGTATTTTGTCCCAGCAGTGAGAAAAAAGTAACCAAGACACTATCCAAGTAGAAATCACCACTTAGCCCAGCAAAACCTGGTCCTTTTACTCTGTTAACTCTGCTAACTGCATCGTAGTTCACTTCATTACTCATGCTAGAAACTTTAGAAGTATGCCAGCCATATCTTTCTTCCAATCACACATCAATCC